ATTAAAAATAATACATGGATAAAAAAAAAAAATCATTTTGTTTTTTATTATTATTTAAAGTAAATGCAATTATAAAAAAAATATTGTTTAAGTACAGATTTACACATGTTTAAATTATTTTTCTCCCAGATGACAGCTTATAAATTTATACCTACCCATTTATTGATAAGAAGCATTTAAGATAATTTTTTAATTACAATAGTTTGAAATTGACATTGTTGTTGTTGTTGTTTCATCTTATCATTCTTAAATTTTTTTTTTAACCAGAATAATTCATGATAATAATAATGTTTTGTTACATAAAATTCTGTAATGGTATAAACAATTATTTATCCATTTAATTAAATTTTTTTTTTTTGCTAAAAAACAACATGTCATTAATAAGTTATTTCAATACATAATTCATAAGTATTTTCAATACATACCTCATTCATAATAATAATAATATTTGAATTATTTAAATTTTTTTAGGGCTCTGGTAATAAAATGTAAATGTTATAAATTAATTATTCACATAATAAAAAGATGAAAAAATTATTTTTCACATCATAAAAATTTAGAAAAATTATTATTATTGGTTAAAACTATTTTTAATAATAAATTAATTTGGGTAGAGACGTGAAATATATATATTCAAACAGGTAGAACCTTAAATTCAATTAAAAATTGTTTAAAAATTAAAATTAAATCAATTAATTAATTAAACATTTTATAAAATTTGCGAAACGTAATAAAAAAAAAAAAAACATAACTTTGGAAAAATTTTTTATTTATTTATTTATTTTTTTTTTGTTTTGTGAGAGAACTTTAGTAAAAAATTTTTTTTTTAAACATTTCGTAAATTATAAAATTGCGTTATTTTGATTACTTTTCATGCCTTTGAATGGGGGGGGGGGGAATTTTTTTTTTTTTTTAGTAAAAGCTTGACTCCGACTGTCACGATTTTTTGAAATTTTCTTTTTTCGTATTTTAAAATTGCAACTTTTCGAAATTAAATTCAAGTAACAGTTTTTCATTATTTATTTTATGAAACAAAAGGGGGGGGGGAAAAATAAAAATATTTGGGATCATGGGGATTTATTTTGCTTAAAAGTATTTTTACAAAAAAAAAATTGAGAATGTTGTTAAATTTTTTTTACGTTACGTAATAATAATAATAATAATAATAATAACTGAACAGTGTCATTAATTTTAAGTTTTTTTTTTTTGAAAAATTTATTTCTACGTTTTTAGTAATAAATAAATTAAGACGTTACCGAGGTTAAACATTTATTTTTAACGGTGTAATTAATAATAAATTAATTTTAAAGCATCTTATTTTATTTTAATTGTGTGTGTGTGTGTGTGCGCGTGTTTGTAAAAAAAAAAAAAATGAAGAAAAAAAAGTAAAAAAAAAAAAAAAACTTTTTTTTCCATAATATATATAAATATATAACACTCAAGGACGTAACCAAGACATTTTCACAACCAAATCGATTCTTCCAATATTATATACGGGGTTCGTAATTTTTTTCGTCTAGGGGTAGGAAAGTGGGGGGCGGGGGGGGGGGCAGGGTGCTGTTGAAAAGAATAAACGGCGAAAAAGGTTAGAAATTAGTTTTGGTAAAAGGATTAAAGATTTGCTTGTTTGTAAAAAAAAAAAATTTTTTTTTTTTTAACGTAATCAAAGTTGCTTTCTTCGTTATTAGTTTTTTGTATTCCTTTGAGTATAAAAAATAAATAAAAATAAAAAGTTTTTTTTTTTTTTTTTTTTTTTTTTGTTAAATTTGAGATACATTCATTCATTCATTCATTCATTCATTCGTTGATATTCAGTGTGAATTACCATTTATTAATAATGTTTAATAAGACGTGTTTATTATTAATTAATTAAAAGTGAAAAAATGAGAAATTTATTAAAATTTTAATAAAGAAAAAAAAAAAAAAGAAAGAAAGAAAGATATAATGCGAAAGTAAAAATAAATAAAAAAATTATGAAATTTTAATTTAAAGTAAAATGTTTTTGAAATAATAAAATTTTGTGTAATACATGAGTTAGTAGTCTAATTAAAATAAATAAATAAATAAATAAATCTTAAATTTATTTTTAATTTGGTTTATTGTTTGAGTTTTTTTTTTTTTGTCAACTGTCAAATTTTATTTTGTCAGAAACATTTTTTTCTCTTGTATTTTTTGCTTTTAAGTATTTTATTTTAATTTGTTCTTATTTATATTTTTCTTTATTTATTCATATATTATTAAAATAATATTATTTATCTTTTACGGCGGTTTTTGTTAATCGGTGAAATTTAATATGTATTACACTGAAATTCCCCTCCAATTAAAAGCCATAAAAATTAAAAAAAAAGAAAAATTTTTAAAGTTTTAGGTAGTAAAAAAAAATAATAATAATAATAGTTTGCGATGGCAAAAATAAATAAAAAAAGAAAAACAATCGATTCTATTATAAATTGAAGAAAATTATGTTTTTCTATTAAAATTATTACCGTTTGTCAAATTGTTCTTTGTTTCAAGACGATTGTTTCGATAAAATCCTATAAGTCATTGTTTAAATTGCGTTTAAATTAATGTACGATGAGTAATTTACTAAGGATAGCTATAGTTTGTCTGGCTATCAATAAATTTAAACAACTCATATATATATATACATACATGTTTGCCTAAATTTGTGATATAAAGTTTGAATATTGATAGTATGCGAATATTTATACGAGAACACGCGGTTTATAATGTTATAAACAAAGTGACGAATTTTTACCATTCGATATTAACCACAAGGTAACTGTATGGGAATTATTATTGGGTCTTGTGTACCCGATGAGCCTGAGCCATTGGATACTACTCTAACGAATTATAATATACCTAGAACCGTTGTTTGTGGTAAGTAATTTCGTTAAAATGAATATTCGATACGTTAATTTTGTTTAAAAATAAAAATAAGAATCGAAAACTACTCCTATATGTTACATATTGAATAGTTTTCAAATTATTATGAATTTACGAGTTATGATTGTTATTGTTGTTATATCTGAACTATGAGTATTAATGTTAAATAAAAGATGTTGATTAATATTATTATTATTAAATTTTAGATGATTTTTTTTGTTTAATAATGTTTTTTTTTTTTTTTTTTTTATATATAAAAAGGTTATTAGAAACTTTAGCTTATTAGACACTAAAAAAAATGTATTTAAAAATTAATAATTTGAAAATTGGCGCGTTTGTATTTATATATATATATATATATATCTTAATTAAAAATTTTTCCTTTTTAAATAATTTTTATTAAAAAGATTTATAATTAAATGAAAAAGTTGTTTTTTTCCCTTTATTAATAATTTTTTTCGTCTGACTTTATGTAAATTTTATCTTATATACGTAGTAAAAAAATATTTATTAAACTTAATATTTCACTTATTATTATTATTTTTTAATAACAAATCATTTTGCTCTACGCCATTTGTACTTGACCTTGTCGGACTCAATTAAAATACAATTTAAAGAAATTGATCAAAATATACTTGCTGGATTAGAGCAAAACATAAAAATGTTTTTGTTTCACAAAAAAAAAAAAAACTAGCATGGTTATTATTTTATTTTTTTTATTTTTTGAATTTCAGGTATTAAATGTCCAATTTGCGCCAAATTTCTTTTACCGGACGATATAGAATGTCATCTGGTCATGTGCCTCACAAAACCGTTTCTCATTTACAACGGTAATTAATTTTTAATGTAAATATTTTATATATGTGTAATTTTTTTTTTTTAAAATTACGAATTAATTAAAATCTCTACGTAAACGAGAACGAACTTTAACTTTTATAATGTTTCGACGGGGGGGTGGGGAAGGGGTGGGAAAGATAGAGAGAAAATCGAATTCTATATATTAAAATTTCATAATGTTTGAATTATTAATTTTCCAATACGAAATTTTTTGACTCGGTTGATAAAAAAATTGACAATCAAAAAAAAAAAAAAAAAAGAGGAGTAACCTGACATTTATTTTCCACGGCCGGCACGAATAACGAACGGTAAACGGTGTCATTTTAATTTTATAAATATTCTTTCTTAGCAATCATTATTATTATTATTATTATTTTTTTTTTTTGTGCATTTAGAGGACGTATTAAGCGAGGACAAGGGAGAATGTGTCATTTGTTTTGAAGATTTAACACAAGGGGATACGATAGCCCGACTACCCTGCTTATGTATATATCATAAAGGGTAAGTTTTTTTTTTTTTTAATATAAAAAGAAGAGGAGGAGGAGGAGGAAATGATAATAATGATAATTTTAATTGAAATATTATAAAACTTGAATGAATTTTCTTTTTTTTTTTTTTTTTTTTTTTTGGGATAGCTGCATCGATAAATGGTTTAACGTAAATCGAAGTTGTCCGGAACACCCAGGAGATTAACAAAGTTTCAATTTGAAAAATTTAATTGGCATAAACGCGCACATTTCGCCTTTTTTTTTTTTTTTTTTTTTTTTTGGTAACGGTCATCAACCGGTCATCAATCTTTTGATTTTCTCTCATGGTTGGTTATCACAAACCCTACCTATATATCTATATATATATTCATCAGATCTAGGAACGATGATGCTCTGGATTATATTTCCCGATTTGTTTTTGGTGAGATTAGTCAAATTAATAAAAAAAATTTTTTTTTTTTTTGTTATTGTATAACGCGACCTCATTGTTTTTAGTTACCGTATAATTTACTTTAAAAAAAAAAAAAAAATTATTTTAATTAATATGAATTGTGTTAGACACACACACACACACTCTGATTTTAATTTTATCTAAATGAAAATTTTATTATTTTAAATGAATTGACGAGAAAAGAAAAAGAAAAAAGAAAAGCGATGGTCTTGAGAGTTTTTTTTTATTCATGTCCTAAAAATAAAATTTTTTTTTTTTTTTTTTGGTTTTGCTTACTTACTAAATTAACCGTTTTAATTTTCAAAATCAAATAGTTTGAATGTTTTTATTTTATATTATTATTATTATTATTTAAAAAACACACAGAAAAAAAGAAAATGCATTTAGTAAAATGTCTAATAATAATTGGTTGTTTTAAACTTTAAAGAAATTGTTTTCATACAGTAAAGAGTATATTACATAAATGTGCCATTGATTAACCACAGAATCGTCCTGCATTTTTTTTTTATATATATTAGTATTTTTTTTTTTTTTTAAGCTTAAAAAGTCATTATTAATATTGTCAACGTTACAATGCTTTCTCTCTCTCTCTCTCTCACGTGTAGAAAACATTTTAATTGTGATTTAGTTTTTGTACTGAAATTATTATTATTCGCGTCGCGATTGAATTTTTGTACTTAAATTCTTTATAAGAAATGGCCATGAATAAAATTTGCAAAAAAAAAATTATAAAATAAAATAGAAATCGATTAGGGTTATTGTAATATCGAAACCGTTATATTATTATTATTATTATTGTTCATACCGAAGGATTTTGTAAAATTGATTTGATCGATTCGATGACGTATAAAATTAATTAAATAAATTACGATGAAAAAATAAAAATTGGGTACAATAAAAAATATGTAAATATATTTATTGTGTATTTATTATTATATTATAAATGTGTAGTAGTATGGTACGTTTATTATTCAATATTAATTATAAATTTTAATTATTGGTCCTTTAAAAAAAAAAAAAAAAAAAAAAATTTTTTTATCGAAAAGTTATTGGAAAAAAAAAAAGTACTAAACATATCTTTAAAAAAAGAAAATTACATTTACCGAATTAATTTAGTTTTCAAAAAATTATATTGGCTGTGTATGTTAAAAAAAAAACAAAACAGTCAATCAATCAATCAGTCAGTCAGTAAGTTTTCTGCTTGATTAAAATAATTGCTATATTTTAATAATAATAATAATAAATAAATAACTAACTAATTAAAAGAAAAAAATGAGATGGTGATGGTGGTGGTCCTTTTAATTAAGGCTCAAAATTTCAATAAGAAAATAATTAAAAATATTTTTTGACATAAAATCCACGTGCAATTGTTATTATTATTATTATTATTATTATTATTATTATTATTATTATTATTATTATTATTGTTACGAAATCAAAAGGGCAAACGATTCTACGTATATAAAAAAAAAAAAAAAAAAAAAATTGATATTTATTTTTAAGTTTAAAGGATATTCTTTTTTTTTTTAATTAATTGAACACATTAATAGCTTTAATGTAAAAAAAAGATTTTTAATAATAATAATAATAATAATAATAAAACTAATTATTTAATTTAAAAGAAAGAAAAAAATTTAAGTAATTTTATCAAACGAAAAATGTTTTAATTTTTTTTCTTTATAAAATGATACTATGTATGTATGTATTTATGTAAAACACATGCGATTATGTTTTTATGTTTTTTTTTTATGTTTTGTTTAATTACAACTTATTATGATTTACGAACAATTTTTTTTTTTTTTTCAATTATTAAATCAAATTTATGTACCTGGTCTTTAATAATTTATATATATATGTATAGTTAAAATGGCGCGGAGGTTATTAGTTTTTATCTTATTTATTTTTAATGTAAATAAAAATTTTTTTTTGTTTTAATAATATCATGAAAAACTCCCTAAAAATGTGTGAATAAAAACGGGGGGGGGGGGAGACATAAATGAGATAAATAAAAAAATTTGTTTGTTTTCTTATTGTTTTTCACGTATGTGTATGTTTTCCCAACATGCATTTAATATATATATATTTTTTTGTAAAGCTTTAAAATATTATTATTATTATTAAATTTGGCATTTTTATTATCATTATTATTAATTTTAAGTAACAATACGTTGTAAAAAAAAAATTTTGTTTTTTATTTTATTTTTTTTTCTGAGGTCGCCCTATACTTTTTTTCTGTATTTACTTTGTAATTACATAAGAAAAACATTAAATGTTTTTATATATATTCGATGTGATTATTATTTTGTTTAAAAAAAATAATAATAATAATTATTTTATGTTTTCTGGTGCTTTTTGTTGTTATTATAATAAAATGGTAGTTGAACTTTTTAATTGATGAAACAAATTGAAAATTTATTTAACAAATTATGTAAAAAAAAAAAAAAGTTTTAATTGCCACCATTTTGTTGTGTTAAGGGTGAGCCTCAATTATGACGACTAAAAATAAATTATTATTAAATTTATTGAGAGAGAGAGAGAGAAACGTCAAACTACACCAAATAATATTTTTTTTTAAATTTTAAAATTTTAATTTAAACAACAGAGTAGTACAAATTTGGCATTAAACGATATTAAAACAAATGACAAACAAACAAATGCCATGGATTATTATTATTATTATTAATAAATAAATATATTTGTGTAGTTTGATATTAAATAAATAAAATTTTTTTAATTTTTATTTAATGTAAGACTAATTAGATATTTTTAAAATAAATAAAAAGGCTAATTAGTCGTGGCCATATGTAAAAACTAAAAAGTATGTAAGTAAAAACAGGGGTGGGGAGGGGAAAACGAGTGTAATTTTAATTATTATAATTACATTAATAATAATAAATAAATAAATAAAAAACTATCGTGTGTGTGTAATTCGTTTTTTTTTTTAAATTAAATAGCTTTCTTAAAATAAAATAGTATATATATATAAAAGTGTTAAAAAATGTTATCGATATGTCGTCGGTGATTGATTATGTACATAATAAGATTCGTGTAATTAAATAAATTGTAATAAATAATTATTAATAAAAAAAAAATTAAAAAAATTGTGCGATGTGTAACGGAGAGACTGGTTATAGATAGGCTGAATATTTTTATACTTTTTAGTAATAACCTTATTAAGGACTGCTATTAATTAATTAATAAATAAATAAATAAATAAAACCTATTTAATAAAAATAAAAAAAAACTTTTTAATTGTTTTGCACGTTTCATTTCGATAGAATTACTATAATTATTATTATTTACTGGGGGATTGGGGGGGGGCGGGGAGCGGGGCAGTCATCATTTGTCAACCGTAATTTAATTTTTTTTTAATTTTGCCTCACATTTTCAATAATAAAAGAAAAAATTTATTTAATTATTTATATTTTTTTTATCCTTTCCTAAAAAGTGAAATGGAACAGCAATTTTTTTCCAAATAAGAACGATTATTAATTAACTTATTAATTGGGTTTTAAATTTTATTTTTTATTTATTTAGGAACGGTTTTAATGAGAAAAAAGAAAGAGAAAAAACTCGCGGATTTACACGTAACAAACAATTAATTTATTATTATTATTATCATTAATTATAACATTTACATGTATAATATAATAATATTATAATAAATTACAATATGATATAAGAAAGTGAAAAATTTTAACCGGCCCTAAATAATTTATTTTGTGCTTTTTATTTAAAAACAAGTGCGCATTATTATTATTATTATTATTATTATTATTATTAACGACAAACGTACAAAATTCAATAACTTTTTTTTTTTTTAACTTGATGTTATTCGTTTGAAAAGAAAAAAGGCACTTTATATTTTCACTTTCTCATATCATTTATTATTATTATTATTAATATTATTAAAAAACAACTTTTACATAATTTATTTAATTAATTAATTTATTTATTTAAAAATAAAAAAAAGGAATCGTTGTTGTTATTGAACGACACGCTTAAATAATAAACCCACTAAATAATAATTTTATAATTTAAATAATAACGAACGAAAAATTATAAATTTTAAATTTTAATTAATTAATTAATTTATTTATTTATTTAATTAAATTAATAAAAAGGCAACTAATATATATTAAATATAAATACGACGACAAACGACAAAACCTCGTTTAAATTACATATATATTTAATTTATTTTAACAACATTTCAATAACAAATGAAAACGTTTTTATCACGTGATAAGATTGATGAGGGTGGAGGGGGGGGGAAATTACTATTTTTTTTAAAAACTAATTACTTATTATTATTATTATTATTATTATCACTCACTAATTCAAAAGTTATTTATTATTAAACATTTATTTATATATATATATATATATATTATTAACGTTTATTTAAATTTAAAAAAAAAAATTCAATGTCGTGTAAAAATGTTATGTCAAATGATAGTATGATAAAATCGTTAATAATAATAATAATAATAATAATAATAATAATAATAACTATCGAAACCCTAATATGATATGATTATTATTAATTTGATATGAATCGTTTAAAAAATAATAAATTAATAAATTTGGAAATTATTCGTTAGAAAATTTTATGAATTAATAACGAAATCAAAATTATTTATTTATTTATTAATGTTTATTAATTAATAAAAAGGAAGACGAAATAAGTTTAAATAATTTATTTTTTTTTTTATTTTTATTTATTTGGGTTTAATTATTGTCATATTTTCATTTTTTTTATATTATTTGTCTTACGTAATCGTTGGTTGATTTTATTTATTTATTTATTTATCAGACTTATTAAATTACGGTTAAAAAATTGGGTGATTGGCAATAATAATAATAATAATAATGATACAAAAAATTATATATATGTATATAAGTAAGAGTAAAATATTAATCACATTTAATAATAATAATAATAATTATTATTATTATTATTATTATTTTGTAAAAATGTTTTTTTTTTTTTTTCTTCTCTTAAAATTTTAAAAAATTTATCTCTCTCTACAATATTTTTATATACATATAAAAACTTATGTAATGAAATTTTTATGTATTGTCGATATTATTGTCTAAACTCAAATTTAATATTTGCAGTTCGCGTGGTAATAATAATAATAATATTAATAATAATAATTTTAAAAAATAAAATAATATTATTCGGGGTGCAAAACCAAAAAAAGAGCGGACAAGACGGTTCGATAAGTTTTTTATTAAAAAAGATTTAAAAAAAAAAAAAAAAATCAATTAAAATTAATCTCTGGGTGTTTTCATGGCGTATACTTTAAATTCAAGTTTCCCTTACTCTACTTTTTTTTTTTTTTTTTTTTTTTTGTTAAAATTAAAAAAACTTTTCCAAACATTTCCTTTTTTGTGGGGGGTCGCGAGTAGTTAAAAAAAGAAAAAATTTAAAAATCCCATAACCAATGAAAAGAAAATATTACTTCTACTTACTCAGGTTGTTTTCTTATATTTAAAAAACTGTGAGGCTACCATCATCATCATCATTATCATCTTTATTTCCTCCCGTAGGACAACATAATCCTTCCGTACCATCATCACGTATGCAAAAAAGAATTTTTTCCGCCATTGTCACATCGCGTGATACGACGCCGTGAAATTCTTTCAATTCGTTCGCTGGAAATTTAGCTTTTTCATTGTCGTCTATTATAAAATATCCGATGGATCTGTAAAATAAATAATCGGCGTGGTTTTAGAAACTTGTCGAAAATTTTCAAAAGATTAATTAATAATGTACATTTTTTCGTTTTTTTTTTTTTTTTTTTAGTACCTGCAAATAGCAACTAATGGTATCCATATGACAGAAATTAATATGAGAAACGCGATTAAAAAAATACACCAAGTAGGCCACGATTGACGTTCCGTAACACCTTTCGAAGATACCCATGCCGGGTATCCGCTACCATCGGTTATAATTTCTATTATGCTCGCCATTAAAATGGCTAACATGGCAAAAGGACTTAAATATTTCCAGCACATCAACCAATATAAACCGGGACGCGTTCCTGTCATTAATTCTATATCGTCGGCAAATCTGGAATTTCAATTTAAATAAAACATAAATTTGATGATGTAATCAGTAAAAACAGAAAAATAATAATAATAATAATAATACCTTTTCAAGCCGTAAATGTAAGAAACACTTATACATTCACAAAAAGCTATTATCAAAAGTGGAAAATTCCCACTGAACATGTCGAAAAGAACAAAAACATAACTGCCGGCTCCGTGTGCAAACATCATGGACAGCAAACAACATAGGAAACATATTCCTCCCGTGAGGATCTCTTTTCTCAAATTTGGAAACAATTTCATGTCCACAACCGAAGTGACAACTCCTTCCAGGGTACCAAATTGAGAATCGATACCCAACGTGAAAAGCATTAGGAAAAACAAAATTGACCAAAATTGAGCTCCGGGAAATTGATTTATGGCTTCGGTAAAAATTATAAAAGCCAAACCCGTGCCTGAAGCCGACTAAAGAAAAAATGCAAAAAAAAATTTATTACAACGTTGTTTCTCTCTTTAAGGTACGCTAAGAATTTTCAGTAAAAAAAAAGGCAAAAAAATTTTCTTTTAGATTTTTACATTTTCCAGTTCTTTTTCAAGGTCACACACTGGAAGTCCAATCAAATTAAAACTTTCTGTCAAATTTTTTGAATTTACGGTTGAATTCGTTATGATCTTGGCGCTTTTTAACATTTTCTGCACGGTTTGATTTCTATCTGCCAAACACTTTTCATAAGTCATCGTCGCTTTAAATCCGAGAATGGAAAAGACGACAATTCCGGCAAACATGGATGTAAAACAGTTAGTGAGAGATACCATGACGGCGTCTTTGTAACAATTATTATTAACCGGATTGTAAGATGAAAAAGCTATCAATCCACCGAAAGCCAAACCTAAAGAAAAAAATATTTGAGTTCCTGCTTCTAGCCAAACAACCGGATCCGCTATTCTATACCACTGAAACGAACAATTATTAAATGTACCTAAATTTATTTGTTTAAAAACTTTTTTAAAAAAAGAGTTAAAAAAAAAATAAAAATTTTTTTTTTACCTTTGGTGTAAATAAATGTCTCAGTCCATCGGACATTCCTTTTAGCGTAACTCCTCTGAAGAAAAAAATAATAAGTACAAGATAAGGAAACGTAGCCGTGACGTAAACAACTTTTCCGGAAGAAACGATTCCTTTGATCATGCAAAAGTATACGAGACACCATGCTATAGCAAGTGACATTCCAATTTTCCAATTAAACGTTTCCGGTGAATTTATATTTTCAGATGCTCCAAGAGTTGTTCGATACCAAAAATATTGCGTCGGCCCACTCACCTTAAATTTGAAAAAAATTTTTTAAAAAAAAAAATATATATATATATATATTTTTCAAATGTTAATTATATTTTTATTAATGAATAAATTTAAAATTTACCACGCAATCCGGTTCCAAATGGTAGGTTCCATTATCGCCATAAACCTTGGGACATTCAGACCAGGGCAGTTCCGATTGAAAGCTTTGAACGAAATAAAATAAACACCAAGCGATGATTGTGTTGTAATATAAAGCTACATTAAATGATACGACGGCGCTACTAATACCGATTCCTCCAAGGTATGGCGATACCTGGTGCCAGACTCCTATGGCACCCTTTCTTAATCTTTGTCCTATTGCTAATTCTAGGTAGAAGATGGGAATTCCTTCTACTGCTAGCATAACAAAATAAGGAATGAGAAAAGCTCCACCACCATTTTTTTGAGCCAGGTACGGAAAACGCCAAACATTTCCCAAACCGACAGCGTAGCCGACAGTGGCCAATAAAAAAGTTAATTTACTATCCCAAGATTCTCTCTCGTCGTCGCAATCTGGCTTAAATATTTTCTCACCTTCTTCTTCTTCTTCTTCTTCAATTATGCTACCTTTTAATACTTGTTTTTCACTCGGACTGGTATCCTCGAAAGCAGGATTTGTGGCTCCGTAACTTCCTGTTAGGGTGGTTTTTAAAGACTCTACTAATCTTCCTTTCATTTCTTTCAATTCGTAACGATCAATCGATCTTTGATGGTGTAAATCTCTAGAACTTTGTCTTCTAACCAAGTGTGCAACGTTAGCCATGTTTTCTTTTATTTATAAATAAATAAATAAATTTTTTCTTTAAATCAATTAAACGATGCAAAAATCAAAAATTTGCGGTGCTTTTCTCAAAACAAAAGCAATCCTCATAATACAAATTCGTTTTATGATTTTTTATTGAATGTAAAAAATTTTTTCCCCATTTTCTTTCTTCTCATTCTAAAAATTAAACCTTAAAAATTTTTTATTAATAAATTTTTACTTAAAAAAAAATTATTATAAAACATTTTTTTTAATGATTTCACAAATAAAAAAAAAATAAAATGTCGTACCTTACAACATATTTCATTTTCTTGAATGAAAATATACAAAAATTACAAAATTTCACATACTAAATTATTTTTTTTTTAAATAAAAAAAATTATTAAAATAATAAAATAAAAAAAATAATCTTAACTGCCCCGGAATATTTGTGTGAATTTTTTTTTTTTTTTTTTTTCCCCGAAGTTAAAAAATGAAAAGCGTCGACGCTTTCAAAATTTCAGACTCGGTCGATTTCAGTTACAAAAAAAATTAAGGTAAAAACATGCGCTTTATTTTTTTTTGCAAACAAAAAAAAAAGCAACTTTAGCAATTGAAAATCTCGTTACTTATTATTATTACAATGCCCGGAGAAAAATACTCGAGCTTTTTTATTTAAAAAAAAAATAATAATAATAATAATTTGCAATCAAAAAAAATTTATTTAAGATACTCATAATCTATACAAAGATATATATTTATTCATTTATTATTTTAATTCACGAGGGCTTCAAATTTTACATTTAAAAAAAAAAAAAAAAAAAAATTTACAGAGTCATCGAATTAAATACTCGGTAAAGTCATGACGTCAAAACATCCGGTTCCGCTTTTACAAAATCTTCCAGCCATTATTCTCGCGCTTGGCGAATTCATGAAATCCTCTTGATTTCTCACGAGTGATTTTTTCAAAAATCCCGTTGATCTTTCAAAGGACATTTGCTGGAGCGGACTGGAACTGTCTGCCAAACCTATTCTGTTAAATGGTGAATAATTACCTTGATTCGTCATGTAATCGGCAACCAGTAGTAAATGTCTGTGATCGACGGTGATTCCATACACTCCGAAGACGTCATTTAATTCTTTGACGATTATTCTCACACCGGCTTCGATTCCTAAAGTTTCGACCACTTTGTTCACGTCGTTCGAATAAAGTCTGTTTATGTCGATCATTTTATAAAATTTGAACATTTCGTTGAAATTAACCCCTTCCGTTTTCAAATGCAGCTCTCCGGACGGATTCTTATAAACGAAAGCTCGTCTGACGTTAGGGATTTGATACAGAACGGATTTTCCGCAAATCACTTTCAATATCGTTGAAAAATCAATTTTATTTAGGGTGAGGGGTATACCCACGACCATTTCGCACCATTCTTCTTTGACAACGTCGAAATCGTATTTTTTTATCATCGGAAATGTATTCAAAACGAAATTTTTTCTATTTTCGACATTTTTCAATTCTTCGCTTGTCAAATTGATTTCTGGAATGTCCCGGGATTCGCTTTCTTCTTCCCCTAATTCAACTCTTCTTTCCGTTTCTTCTTCGTATTCCGACGGTTCGTCCTGATACAGAGTGTCATTTTCTTCGTCGCTTTTTTCCTCTTCCGATTCTTCAGGTTCGTCGTATTCTTGATTTTCGCAATGTCTATTCCTTACCTTTTCCTTGGTCGCATCGTCATCATCCAATTCTTCTTCTTCATCGGAACTCTCGTGATTTTCTCCGAAACCTCGGTATTTATTAAAATTGACTCCTGCGGAATCCACATTATCCGCGTCGTCTTTTTCTTCGTCTTCTTTGCTTATCATTTTCTCTTCCTTCGACTCGAATATAATGTCACCAAATTTTTTACTTAATTTTCTAATTTCCTTACACAGCAATATGAGAAAAGGTTTTTCCACGTATTCCAGCACATCTTTAGGTTTTATTAAATAATCATCCTTGTAGAAACTATGTGGAAGAAATTTAAATCTAATCGTGTATGTAAATAAAGGACTTGGTTTAAAAATAACTTTTTCATGAACCGTAATCGTTTCTAAAACATCGGCTAGCGTCACTCTCTGAAATATTTTTTTCAATTTATTACCGTTTTTCAACATTTTTTTTTCAGACTTTTTCTTCAAAGGCACGTCAACGTAAGGAGTTTTTATTGATTTCGATGCCGTCATTAAAATTTCTCTGAGCCTGGGTATACCAAGAGTTACGTTCATTTCTCCTCTTCCGGCAAAATGAAAAGTATTTAAAGTCATTTGAGTGGATGGTTCACCAATTGATTGAGCAGCCAAAAGACCCACTGGTTCTCCAGGTTGACATAATGATAACATGTATTTGGCTTCTACCATATTTTTAACTTTCTTCTTTTCTTTTTTCGATTGGTTTGAACATTTCGCATCTAAATAATCCTTTATTAAAGTTTCCAATTTTTCTGTTATCACACCAAAGTCGTGATTTCTGTTATACTTGGACGTAACTGGATCTAATCGAACTTCTTGCTTGTAAAGTTGTTTATCTTCATCGGCTAAGGCATTCCACTTTTTAAGCATTTTAGAATACGCTTTCGTTCTTCCCGTTCTTTTATCTAATTTTGTAAAATATTTATTGCGTATATCATTTTTTATAGACTGAGAAAAAGAAGTGAAAGGAGCGAGAACCTTTTTACTTAGGTTTATTCCTGCCATTACTTCTTCTCTGTACGCTTCAATTTTTTTATACGGTACGTCGGCTTTGAGGCTTTCAATCACAGATTTTTTGACAACTGCATTTAAATTATTGTGAAGAAATTCCATATGAGTAGGTTTAAAAAAAGTTGATTTTTGAACTTCTAAACCGTCACCTCCGTAAATAAACTGTATCACGGTACCATCATGATCTCTCACGGTTCCGTCGTAACCTATGCTTACTCCTTCTAAATGTTTTATTAAACATCTTTGCAAGTAACCACTTCTGGAAGTCTTGACGGCAGTATCGATTAAACCTTCTCTACCAGCCATGCAGTGGAAAAAAAACTCCTGAGGAGATATACCCGTCATAAATCTATTATCTATGTAACCACCAGCGCACGGCTGAGTGTCGAAAGCCTTATAAGAAGGAAGGCTCTTTCCAGAAATCATAAAGGGTGGTCTTTTGCCTTCCAATTCGATTTGTCCCAAAAGGCAAGAGATCTGCATTGTGTTAACTGTACTTCCTTTAGCTCCTGACGTAACCATTAATTGTAAATTATTTTCTGGAAATCTGGAAATTAAACCCTTAGGCAAGCAAACTTTGTTTATTTCATTTGTGAATGAATTTAATTTCACCTTATATTCTTGATCTAATTTTCCTTTAAACATGGTTCTATTCTTAAAATATTCTCTTTCTAACCTTTCGTATAAATCATTCGGAATTTCTTCCAAGCCAAGTGCTTTTGCAGCTATCTCATCCCCACATTTCCTTAACTTTTCAATTATTTTTTTTCTACTTTTATCTGCCTTGGCTTTCACTAATATATCTTCCACGCCAAGAGTAAAACCCGTCATTTGTAAAAAAGCAGTGCTTAGTCGGCCAATGGAGTTTAAGAATTTCGAAGAACACTCTCCGCCATACAATTCATACAAACAGTGCGTTAATCCAAAAGGAGTGGCTCCAAAGTGCTGTTTATCTAACACGCCAGTCACCAGGATTCCTTTTCTTAAAATAATTGAGGACTCTGACATTTCGTTATCACTTTTAAATTCTTCTCCACACATCCATTTTCTAGGTGATCCTGTTTCCCATAATTTGACGCTAATTTTAGCATTTCCATTAAATGAAATTAAATCCTTGTCTTTAGGAATAATGTTAATTAAAATGGTAGAAATTATTTGCTTTCCGGACCATAATTTTTTCGGTTTGACAATACACGGAGGTAATAAAATTATATTTCCATTTTTGTGAGATAAACCTTGGTACACTAGTTGATGATAATCTTCTTTTTCAAACATTTGGTTCTTCATTGTTAATCGGACTGTAGATACAATATGATCTTGAATGAGACCACCTAAAGGTGTTCCGTCTTTAGGTACCAAATAATGATTCGCAACATTTACTATATTATAGCCTTCACTTCTTGATAATTCGGTTTGAGGTAAATGAAGGTTCATTTCATCTCCATCAAAATCAGCATTGTAGGCTTTACAATTAGAATAATGCAGTCTAAACGTCTTTTCGTTTTTTAAAATTTTTACAATGTGAGCCATAATACTCGGCCGATGAAGAGTGGGTTGTCGATTTAAAAGAACAATATCTCCGTTTAGCAAATGTCTATGAACTTTTTTAGTTTTAAATGAAGTTGGATCTCCTTCAATTGATTTCAATAACAACTTGGAAATTCCTATTCTTTTTTTTCTATTTTCTTCCCCACCTGTAAGTTTTATTAGTGAGCCGTTCTCATTTTCAATTAGGGTCGCTCCTGGATAAACATCAGGACCATTTTGAACCATTTTTCTTAATTCTTCGACGTTAAAAAAATTTACGCCGACTGGGTACGTCAATTTCTTGGCGAAATATTCCGGCACACCGATTTCCTGAATATTTAAATTTGGATCAGGAGTTATTACTGTTCTTGCTGCAAAATTAACTCTTTTACCCATCATGTGCATTCTTAAAACACCTTCTTTTTTTTCTAAAACTTGTTTCAATCCAGATATGCCTTTTTTTAAAGAAATTCGAGCTGCACTTGAATCTAATAATGTATCAATATCATTTTGTAATTGTAACCAGCATTCATGAAGTTTTTCCAAAACTGTGGCTCCACGAATCCCATCGATGTAAACTTTATATTCTGGAGGGAAACTGTTATAATCACCAGTGTCGACGGCTTTCACTAGATTTTTAATAATAATACAATCATTGATTATATTTTTATAAATAACAGTGTGAGGATTTTCAATCATAATACCATTAGCAAATTCTACTGGTCTGGCTTTTGGTGGAGTGACCAATATTACATCCATAAAAAATAAATCCGTAGGATAGCTTAAATTTGAATTTTTTAAAATTGGCATCAATTCTTCTACTAAATCTTTACTTTCTTCCCAAATTTTTCGAAGTGTCTCTCTTGATTCTTTTGGAGTTATGAACGTTGTTTCTTGCTTTGAACCTTTATTAAAAGCATTTTGTGGAACATCTTTAAATTTTTTTGCTATTTCAACTTTCGTAATGGAGCTTATTATTTTATTTTGAAACTTGATAATTCTTTTAAAAGGATTTTTGCAATGAGTGCATGACTTGGGAAGAATTATTTGTTTTATAAATTCATTGAGAAATTTTAAACGCAAAGATTCAATACTCCTCGATGAAGGAATATTAACTGGATTCGAATCCAATTCTAATTCTTTTAAGTATTCTGAATAATTCTCTTTTACAACATAATTTTGAGCATCATTTGAATCCATTTCTTTTAAGTTCAAAGCCTTCGTTTCTAAATCTTCTGCTTCTGCCATTTTACCATGATCTAGAAGTTTCATTTGGTAAATAAATAAGTTTCTTAAATTCGGAGGTATTGCCAACTTATAACAATAGCTACAAGATAATTTTAATAATGTTAAAACTTCTTTGTGAAACAATGGATTTATAACTGGCAGTGGTAAATTAATATGACCAAAATGTCCACAACAATTGCGAATTGTTTGTCTACATGTTAAACAAGACTCTTTTAACATCCCAGAAGGACCCATAACTAAATCGTATAATCCATCTTTTAATGGGTGATCAAGAGCATTAAAACATATTGAAGTCTTGATCTCCACTACACTGAGATTGTATATATCAGATGCATTAAATATTCCAAATATTATTTTGTTGATTTCCACTTTTTCAACAGCCATTTTGATATATAAATTCAAATGATGAAAAATTGAAACTTCTAATTTTATTTACGGCTTTTTTCAATTTTAAATCTTCTTTGAAAAATCGAAGAAGAGCATTTACTGTATCTTCATTTTCATACTCCAAGTTAGTTAAAGCTAGTGTCACTTGTAAATAAAATGAATGGTAGTATCTCCAAATATCTTCACACCAAATTACTATATGTTCAAGCGAAGGGCAGCATGGATTAAGTAAAGAAAGATCTATTAAGTTTTTGGCTCTTAAATTGTAGTACACATTTTCTATATACTTGCATTTTTCCCATAATACTTCATTTGCTGAAAGAATTTTGTCCCTAAAATTAAATTTACCTATTATTTAAATAATAACTAGAATTTCATTATTATTTTAGATCTACATACATATAATTTAAAAAATGAAATAAATATGGCTTACACCATTACCTGATATTTTCTAAAATTGTCAAATTCTCTTGCAATGATTTGAAAATTTCATATGCTAAACCATTTTTGAAACCTTCAAAATTTTCAAATCCAATTATACTGGAATTATCAAATGTAGATTCTTGTAAAATTGCTCTATAAAACAAACTTTGATTAACTATAGAACTGCACGGCTTCTTTGATGCTATTATCCAATCCTGAATTTGATTTTCATGATTTTCAACCAATTCAAAAAATTCTTGTATTTTTTGGCATAGAGATTCTAAATTTTCCATAACATTTTAACATTTCTCTTTAAATTATTTTATATTCAAGTCTAAATTTTAATTATAAACTATTAATATTAATAGTAATTTCGATCAAAGCAATTTTTTTTTTTTTTTAAATTACAAAATCACTGTAAAAGCATACAATACACTGTTTAAAGGTATGCTAATAGAATTAAAAAATATTTAATAAAAAAAAATTATTCTGCTTAAAGTTGAACCATACTAACTCTACGCTCGAAAAAAAAATTCTAAGTGCGGGAACTTCTATCTACAGAATCATTTATAACCCCACGTGGGTATAAAAAGTAAAATTAAATCATAAGGGAGAGATTCCAGAGCGAATCGAGAGAGAAAAAAAAATAACGGTTGTAAGAAACTTAAATCGGTTATAAAAATCTCATTAATTAATTAAATGAATTTTTAATACCAGTTTTTTCCTTCAAAATAGTTTTTTCTAAAAAAAACATAAAATAAAACGATGAGTTTATTATAAAAACATATTTTTACGTAAATTTCTTTTTGAATATTCTATAATACTTTAACGACTTTATTTCGTTCCTTTTATAATAATAATAATAATAATAATAAAAGGGTAATAATTACTAGCTAAAAATTTATAATTTAAAAAAATTTATCTTAATTTTAAAATAAATTAAATACAGGTAATAAATATATATATATATATAAATATATAATAATATATTTTTATAAAATAAATTTTATTACAGAATTATTAGTTCAAACAAAATAATAATAAATGGACGGATGAGTTTGTTTATTATAATTAATGTTTAACAAAAAATACTAAATGTTTAAATAAAATATATGTATAAAGTGCAGAGCCTACTTTTAAAAATTTACTTTATAAACCTTATTTAAAAAAAAAAAGATACAGGTATGAATATTAATAATAAAGAATTCTTTTTTTTTTTTTTTCACATTTCAGTCTTCCCTGTTTTGGCATATATATATATATTTGTTTTTTTTTTTTTTAAATAAGTACACTTGTATGAATATATTCCCACAATTAAATTTAAATTAGCAAAAATAAAACAATCAATCAATCATTTTCATCAAAAATAAATAATAATAATAATAGATTCTTTAATTTTAATAAAAAAAAAAAATATTATTATAATTATTAAAATAAACGGAGTAAAAGGTACTTTTACGGTAATACTGACACTTTTTAAAAAAATAAAAATTATTCTGACCCTGCAATATGATTAATAAACATGATGAGAAAAAAAAATTTTTTCTTTTTAAATAATAATAATGTATGATTAAATAAAAACTTTTTTGTAACATGATAACCGATTATAAATATAAATATTTTAAGAATAATGATAATAAATAAAATATTATAAATTTTTTTTTTTTTTTTTTGAAAACAGTTTATAGAAGAAAGCAGGCACCATTAATAATTTTCTATTATACTAAAAACCAACAAAAACAACAACAAAACAAAAACTATTCTTAATATTATATCTATTAAATTTCCTTTTTTTTTTTTTTGTTCAAATAGTAAAAGAAAACCCCTTATTTAAAAATTTAAAATTTTCTTTACATTATTTATTAATTTTCCCCAAAAAGAATTTTAAAATTTTGCAACCATTTTTAATAAAAAAAATTTTTTTTTTTAAATATTTGGAAGACAAATAGCCAACATATTCAACCGTAAAAATAAATTTAGAAAATTATTAATCACGTAAAAAAGTATAAAAAAAATAATAATAATAATAATAATATGTTTAAAAACTGTACAAGTTTTAAATAATTGATGAAAATAATTCTTCATTTGTATGCCCTTATTAAATTTTTTTTAGCCATTTTATGTAATTTATAAAAAAATTTGATTTTTTTTTTTAAAACAATAATAACTAACTTAATAGAATTTGTTAGTAATAATTATTTTTTATACATTATGATTGAGTAATAATAATAATAATAATAATAAAAATAATTATATGTAATAGATAATGTCAAATGAGAAAAATTTGAATAAATAAATTTTGGTAAAACCAATTAATTAATTTTTTTTTTTTTTTAAATTTAATTAATTGAATCGGAATCCTTTAAGACAATTTAAGACATTATAAAAAAAAAAAATTACAATTTTTATAAATTCAAAAGTTAAATTTTAAAATTACTTTTCCTTAATTAGCCTCATTTATGGCATAATGACACTCATTCCCTAATTATTTTACCATTAATTAGCATGTTTTTATCAAATTAAAATCATAATAGCTTTAATAGGGTAATAAATAAATAAATTTCTTTTTAAAAAAAATTTCACTTAAAGCATCAATCAATCGAATATGAAATAAATGAAAATTTTTACTTTTTTTTTTTTTTTTTTTTGTACGTAATTAAATAATATGAAACGAAATTCGTTTAATTAAAAAATTTACTCAAAAAGTCATTTATTTATTACCGCATTTTTTTTTTTAAAAGCAACAACTTAATTTACGTAAAATGCAAATTTAAATTTCAAATTAAAATATAACCATAAAAAAGTTAAATATCAAACGTAAAATTATTCACGGTTAATGTTCATGGAATGTAATTTATACTCATTTTATAAATCATTTTTGTAAATTAATTAAAACGGAAAAGATATTAAACTTTAAAAAGGTAAACGTCTTGCATACAATTTTAAATTGTGTACGATGCATTAGATTCATTAGGTTATATTGCATTTTTACAATAGTTTAACGAATAAAATTAAATAAAAATTTTGTTTTCATTAAAAGTACCTAAATTCGCCCTTTTTACCCAACCGTTCTTTCCTTACCCAATCTGCCGGAGCAGGTGGAGGAATCGGTGGAGAGCGAAGAGGACTTTCCGACCCACCTTTCCTACCCACGATATCTACTTCGTCCTGAGACCTCCCCGAAAAATGCCTGTCGACTCTATCTCTTTCGTACCCTGGTGAATATAAGGGGCTGTTAAAAACGTCAATATTAGCAGCATTAAATGGGGAAACAATTGTGTGAGGAACGTGTCCTATCTGTCCCCTGGCATTTTTCCCCTTCCACCATTTCCTACTATCGTCAAGTATCTCAAGATATTCACCTCGAATCACGGTTAACTCCTTATCATTATTCGCGGTTCTTGGATACGTGACTCTGACGATTTTAGCGTTTCTGTCAATTAAATCCTCTAACCAACTAGCTTGATTTCTCTGAAAAGCCTGATTTTCTATTATATGACCTCCTTTTTCAATTGAATCAGCTGAAATATCGCTTCTGGCTTCTCGGCTGTGTATCGGCTGAGAAAATTCTCTTTCCGAATCGGGACTTTTAGATCTGGCTCTCTCGGTGTAAGATTCGTGATGAAAAACTCGATTTTCGAAATCGTAGCGTCGATGATCGATGATGGGTGATGCCTTTTGTCTGTCGTAATCTATGTACTCACTGTTATAATGAGAATCATCATGTCCTCGCATATATTCTCTTAATTCAGGATCGTTAGAAGTCGAATTTTGAATTTCTCCACGATTTCTTTTTTCTTCGGAATTTCCAGTAGGCTCGTGTTCGTCAATAACAGAAAAATCAGGCGACCACCCGTCCATAAAAACAGGATGATAAGGCGTAACAAAACCCTTCCACTGATCTCTAGATATTAACCACGCATCACCTAACGAATGCCAAAGTTCCGTCTCCTTGCTGGTTACGCAATTAATCAATAAATTTACAGCTTCCCTCGTTAAAAGGGGAGAAACAACTTTGGCAGGCAAATTAGGTCCGTAATGAGTGTCGTGTGAAGCATCAACAATGAGAGCCAAAGGTGTAAATAGAAAATGTACCAGTTCAGGAGCGTTGGGATCGTGTATGTGAGCCTTCAATTTTGCAAGTAAATTGAACGAAAGTTTAAATTTTTGAAATACGTCAATGAATTCGACTTCTGGAGGTGGTTTCGCTCGAATCGTCAACATACCGTCTCCCATATCTTTTTTCTTAGATTTACGATTTCTTCTGCGTCTTTCCAACTCTCTAGAGGCTGCTGCTGCATGTTGCAGCCTTGCTATAAATTTCTCAATATCATCAAAGCAATGATTTAATATGGTAACATCTCTTTCATACCTTTCACTTGAAGTAGAGCTTGTTTCGTCCAATAAGGATCCTTCTTCGTTTCTCGACATTTCATTTCTGGAATTTCGGCCTCGATCGACTTCAGCGTGATGTGAACTTGAATTGAAAATTGAAACTTGCTCCCTAACATTAATAGGAGGCTCCGGTGGAGGTGTAATGGGAGGAGGAGGGATTCTCCTCTCCCTTCGCGCTATTGGCAGCTTACCGGCGCGCAATAATTTTAAATCTTCAACTAATTCCTGAGCAGGAACGCTTTGGCACTGAAATATATGCATTTCTGAATGTGAATCAATTGGCCGTTCTTCTCCAACAATAAACACCAAAATGTTGTTATATATTTCTAAAGGATCATGGCTAGTAAATGCAGTGGGTTCTTGAATAAGTTCCACTGGAAATCTTTCCATGACAGCTCCAGTCTCATAATCCATTATAAGAACCCATGATTGACTAAGTCTCATTTGCATTTTTTGCGACCAGATGCCATTCGATTTTTCCAACTGAAGTAATCTTCTCATTCCATCTGCTGGATAAACAATTCCTGTATTTTTAGCCACTGTGAAGGTAGCAAGATGTTCAATTGTAAAAATTGGTTGCTCTTCCATATTGTTTCTATTATGAGACATCTACAAAATACCAATCTGAAAAAAAATACTGAATGAGTACAAAATTTTTAAAACGGTTTTTATCACTAATTTACAAAAATTTTATTTTATGGAATATAATTACTAAAAAAATTAAATTTAACAAACAAATAAATTGAAAAAAGCTGTTATATAATTTAAAATTGTAATTTAATTTCTTAAATAAAATAAAAAATAATTTGGTTTAAATGTCTACTACATCTTATTTTAAAAATTATTTTTACACATAAGAAAATTGATATTTTTTCAAAGTTTATATAAAATTAAATTATAAATTTTAATAATTAAAATTATATTTAATTATTTAGTTATTAAAAGTTAAGATATTTAAATAAACCTCTAAATAAACTTAAAAAAATTATAATTGTTTTTAAAAAATTTTAATAAGTATGGATGGTATTTTATGTGGATTTATTTCATTATTTTTAATGTTAAAAGCGGAAGAAATGACACGTTAAGTAAAATTTGAGAATTATTTTGGTTTTAAACTCAAATATTAAGACATTAAAAATTATTACACTAAAACCAATTTGATAATACGTGGTAAAAAGCCGTAAATGATTTTTAACAAGTGACTCACCTTAAACAAATTTAAAAACAATTACGTTGCATTAACAAGGGTGCATTTTTAAAAATAAATAATTTCTGCTTTAATTACTCTTTATTGTTTACAAATAACTTCAAAACACTAAACTATAAAATATAAAACCGAGGAAGAAGAGTCTCAAATTTTTTATTAAAAACCTTGAGCCTACATACTTTTCATAAGGGCGTATAAGCAGGTACGAAGTTATGTAGGCTTTTAAAAAAACGAAACTAAAAAACGTGTCTAAAAAAAAAAACACTGCACGGCTTTATAATTTTTAACAAAAAAAAAAAAAAACCCCCGAAAAACACAATATCTCATTGATGTTGTTTATTCGAGCAAAGAATGTTATTATTAATAATATCCAACGTTTAGGCACTTACCTGATATAAAATACAAAAAAAAAAAAGTATTCAACGAGGTGACATCAACTCATTTACAAATAAATCAGCCATTTTGATTGTAAATTTTTTGTATTTGGAAAATGCTTAACTTATGAAAGAAATAATGTGGCAGCCAGCGCTGTTTGTGAAGAATTTTAAAACTATTAAAAAAATGAGGGTCGGAAAAATTTAGCGGAAGAAATATCAGAGAGGCGGTAGATTTATCCTACAAAACTAGAAGACAGTTTGACTGCGAGAGAGAGAGAAGATAGCGGAGCGCGGGAGAAATTTAATTCATATATGTACGACTAAATTTTTTTTTTTTTTTTTTGATTTTCAATACAAGTGGGTGTTTAACGTGTAATTAAGTTTTATTTAAACATTTCTTACAGTCAGTAAAAAAAAAGAGTTTTAATGAAAAATTTTATATGAAATTTAAAGAAATGAACGGTAAATTAAATGAGAATTATGGGGATGACGCATCCCTTGACATTGATCTTCTCAACCCATTTACTCACAAATTGGAGCTTTCTACGACCTATGAAAAAATTAAAGTAAGAAATTTTTTTTTTTTTTTATGTATCATTACGTAAAATTTACGTGCAAAAATTTATTTTTTGACATTTCGATTTTAAATGATTATTATTTATAGAAATTATCGTACACGAACGAAAAAACGGGAAAATGACTTTTTTTTAAATCGAAAAAAGATTTATTTGTTCACGCACAGTTTTTTTTCCCTAATGTATAACGTTACGAAACCATTACCTATTTATTAATGTGTTGCTTACGTTCGTTAAAAAATTATTAAATTTAATTAGAAAACACATTTTCGAAACCGAAGGTAAAAACATGAAAAAGTTTTATTTATTAAAATAAAAAAATTGCGAAACCGCTTTTGCCAAAATTAAAAAAAAAAAAAAAAAAAAAAATTCAATTTTTTTCTTTTAACTCATGAACAAACAACAAGAAAGAATCTAGCCATTCTCTAAACGGTTAAAAAAAACCGTTAATAATAAAAAATAATATTTTTTAATAAATGTTATTTGACTTGATGGAATTTTGAAAGTTTTTATTATATTTTAAAAGAATATTTACTTAAGAAAAGATCGTCATTTAAAAAAATAATTTAAAAAAAAAAAAAAAAAAAAAATTCCCCATACGAGCACCCCATATATACCAAAAGACTTTTGTTATAATATTTTTTTTTAAGGGTGAATTCAAAAAAACCTTTTTTTTAATTTTTTTCATATTTTTTAAATTATTCAAAGTACCATTTTTTTTTTATATTTAGTAATAAACAATAATACGTCGTGCACATTTTTTTTTTTAAATAAAAAAGTTAAAAAACTCATAGAATTTGCCTAGTCATAACTCGACATTAAAAAATTTTATTAAGAGACAACATGTCATCTTGTATTGCATCTTTTATTTATTTTTTTGCACTTCTTATAATAAAAATATCCCGTTTTATTTGCTACGGTTTAAAAAGTAATTTTTTACAATTCAAATTTTTTTACTATTTAAAAAAAAAAAAAACAATTTTTCTTCTAATGACAATCAGACAATCGTTTGTCAAATGAAAGAAAAAGAAAAAAGAAAAAAAGTGATACAAAAAGGCACAAACGAGGTCAAATAAACTTATTCATAGTTTATACAAGTTATTATTTAAATAAATAAATAAATAACAAAACAAAATTGAAGGTGATTTAAATAAATTTAAAAAAATTAAAACAAAAAAAATAATATATTTAAAACTTATTATAGTTGTGGAGGGGGTTTTATTCTGCCTACTCTAACTTATAATAAAATAAATTATATATATATATATATATATATATATATATATATATATATATATATATATATATATATTAATAAAATAAAAAGTTTTTTATGAAAATTTTGTTGTGAGAAACCATTTTTTCAATTCCTTTCTCTTCGTCATGTTATGTTTTCATGTTAGAAGAAGAAGAAAAAAAAAAATTTTTAGTTTTTGTTAGATTTGAGAGAGATTTTTTCCTTTTGATATTTTTACAATATATATACGTATATAATATAATAATAAAAAAAAAAGAAATCATCATTGTAAAAGTATAATTTTTTAACAATGGTTCATTAATTATTAAATTTAAAAAAAAAAAAAAAAATAGTGAAATTTTTTTTAAATTTGTTTAAAGGTTACGTTAAGTTTAATTGGTATTAATGATTTATTATTATTATTTTTTTTTTTGTTGTTGTAAATATTTAAATTTCTTTAAAATGTTCGTTATTTGATATTAAAGCTTATTTATTATACTTTTTAAATATTAATTTTCTTTTCATTATTTAAAACGACTTTAAAAGTTTTCACTTTTGGAAAAAGAAAAATTAATAATAAATTTTTAAAATGAATTTTTTTTCAAAGGTTTTAATTTTAATGTTGATTTTCGTTTCGAAAAGGAAAAGGGGAGGAGGAAGAGGGAGAAAGGGAGGGAGGGGGTATTTCTTTATTCAATTCTTTGTTGTAAATTAATCGTAATAACTTTTTGATTAATTATTTAAATTCAATGACCTAACAAAAAAACTTCCTGTTATAATTTTTTTATTTATTTTCCCTGTATATAACCAAATGATTATTATTATTATTATTCAAGATCATGTACAAAAAATTTCTTTTAACTGACCTAAAAATTTCAATGAGAAAAAAAAAAAAAAAACGGTTTATTTTTTTTTTTTTTTTGTACAAAAATTTTATTTTGCAAATCATGAAATAATTTCTTGTTTTAATTTTTTTTATTTTTTATATTGAAAAAGTTTAGGTCACAAGCCAGCTTTCATAAAAAAATTAAATTTGTCAAATCATCTTTTTTAAGAATGAGCGGTTTTTTTTTTTTTTAAGTGTTGTTCAAATTCATTTGAATACAATTCCTTAAATAATAATAATAATACTTTACATTCGAGTTTTTATTATTTATATTACGGTAAATTACTATGAATTTCGTTTTTTATTTATTAACTTTTAATTTTTTCATTAAAAACTTTTATCGAGTATAAATTTTTGATTTATTTTTAAAGTTATATTTTGCATTAAAAAATTAATAATTATAAATAAATAAATAAGAATTATTATATAATTTTTT